TTTTTTTTTTTTTTTTTTGGCGTTCGGGCTCGGACAGACTGCCTTTGTTTTTTTTTTGTTTTTGTTTTTTTTTTTGGCGTTCGGGCTTGGACAGACGGCTCCAGGAGGACGTCCGACCGGTTGTCCGACCGGACAACCCCGGATGGTCAGGGGGGTTCCGGACGTCCGGCCCGGTAACATAGCTTTAAAGTGAACAAAAAAAAAAAAAAATGGATGACGAACTTAGAAGAATGTTACTACCTGCCCAGCCCATGTGGTGAATGGTATACAAAGGTAACTTTTGATAAACAGGTGATGAGTTCGAATCCTGATGCAATCAGCTGAATACAATAATGTTAAGGGCTAACCCCTTCGAGAAAAACAAACAAACAACAAGGTTGCACGCACGCTACCTCACTTAAAAATGATGAAGAATGTAGCACCGAGTTGCAGGCTACCGTCATGTGTGTGCATGTGCGCTGTCAAAAATACCACCAAATAAATGTGCAGGTATGTGTGTTAGTGTTTGGGTCCAGGAGCATTGCCTAAAATTTGGGCTACACAGAGCAAAAGAAAAGCCAAAGCGCAATGGGAAAGTGTGGAGGGAGGCAAGGGAAGGCAATTAATAAACTCGCTCTTTCATTGGTGCTTTTCCTTTCTCTCTATTTATGCGTGCCATTCTTGTCCGGCGCCCATGTTAATTACTCTCCTCCGTATGGTTACCAATTTAACGGGGTAGACCCTAAGAATATTAATCTATCCTGTCAGGATTCGAACTCATGATCTTTTCGCATGCAATGTATGTTTGCAGCTGTGGGTATTTGGGTGGCAGGTGAATTGCGTAAACTTGGGCTGGTGCCGTGTAGAAAGGCGTCCAAGCCCCGCAACAGACAAGGGTGGACGGAGTCACGGAGGCCGGCAGGGTAACAAAAGGCTAGTAACTTACTGCGTAACTTACTCTTTTGGAAGTGCTTTGACTGGCTCCGGTACTTTTGGAGGTGTTGAGCTGCCAGTTGCCTGTCTGCCCTGTCGTCCAATCTGTAGAAAGAGTCCCCATGACAGGCCAGAGAACACACGTATGCACAGAAACATAATTACAACCTGCTTGAAACCAATTGATCTTTGCACTCTTGAATGTTTGGTCTGCCTCCCGTCTTGACC